CAGTCTTATATAGAACCTTCATACCCCGCGTATGGTCCGAGTATAGAGTAGTATAAGCCTCCCTTATACTTCCTCATACTCCGGTAGTATAGAGTAGTATAAGCCTCCCTTATACTTCCTCATACTCCCTAGTCACATGATCTTCTGTAAGGAAGAAATCCTTGGATCGCCTAGCTACCCTAAGCGATCCCCATTTGCTATAAGAAATCTGAATGTGCCTGTCGAGGGTTGCGCCTTTTTATTATGACAAGTATCACGTGAACACGTGATTCGTGACACTTATTTATTATATTAGTTTATATTAAATTAGATATTACTAAAAGTCTTTAAGTTTCTTTTAAACTATAATAGATTAATATTACTAGAAATATCTTAATATTATTTCTAGTATAAGGCTCATATAGTTATAGATTATTACCAATAATATAAAATATATTACATATTAGTATATAAGTTTATATTATTATAGAGTATATAAAAGATTAAGTATATAAAGTATAAGGAAAAGAAGGTTAGAGGTAAGTTAATATCTACTAAGGCTAGTAGGTAGAGTCGTTATTTATAAGGGTTATAGAGATTCTAGGTAAGTAAAATAAATCTCTCTTATATATTAGCTTCTTATAGAATCTTTTTATACTTCTTATAAAGTTAAGGCTATTAGGTAAGATCTAGCCTTACTCTAAGGTCCTTACTATAAATATATTCCTTATTTATAAAAGAGTTAAAGAAAAGGTTATTTAAAGGTAGTAGGTCTAGTATATTATCTAGTAGTTAAAAGAATAAGAGAATAAAAAAGAGAATAAAGAGAATAATTTAGTAAGAGAAAGGGAGAGAAATAAAGTAATTAAGTAGAGACCTATCTATTATTATTATTACTATAGTAGTAGTAGTAGTAGTATTAAAGAAGTAGTAGTTAAAACGCTTATAAATAGAACTAACTATTCTATATTAGGTAGAGTAGTAGTGTGACGGTTCTCACCGCCACCATGCCTCTAACCAGCCCCTGGCTGGCACCCGTCGGCCGCCGTGCTTCCCGAGCCCGGCTCGGTTAGCTATAACCCTTGGTACCCCTCCTGTATATAAGAGCTTCCAGCTCCTGGACTTCTGTCCTTTCTTCTCTTCTCTCTTTAGCTTAGAATCTTCGAATAGACAGTTCTACGATTCCATAACCTACACCTTGGACGCTCTCTGAGCAACATCTCGTACGTGTCGTCACAAGTAGTATTTATAACTTTTATAAAATAGATAACTTATTCTTTTGTTTTTTATAAAGAAATTATAGATAGTAAGATCCTACTAAAATATATACTTAAATAGCCTGTTGGTATTATAATAATAAGTCTTATAAGGCTTAGTTTAGTAAACTTTACGTAATATTAGTAAATCTTAGTACAAATCTACATGTTTTACTTAGCCCGGCATATATTAGGTGTACACGTCCTCGGCGAACCTCCGACCACCTCCGTACCGTCCAGGGGATAAACCATCTAATGATAGATAGCATCTACACCCCCCCTTTGATCTTCATAAACAAACAGTCTTGGTTCTTGCCATTCTAGCTCCCTCGTAAAGCGACGAAATCAAGAGGAACTGACTAGAATAAAAAGGGCATCTCAGCACCCCACTATGCATATACGAGCTGGAGAAGCGTGGATCCATCTCAAAACCACGAAAGAAACAAATGACACGTTAGAATCACTAGTACTGTAGAGTTAAGAACGACATGATTCAGAGAGGAATAGAAACTTGTAGATTTTTTCTTCTTCACGACGTGCCTAGCTATTCCATGACAAGACACACTTTGTCAACCACAGACCCAACGTCATCACAAACATCTTTTCCTTCAGTCTTCAGGACCGGTAGTATCTGCCTCACTGCGATCCACATCCGAGCTCTCTCGACCCTTGCCCTTTTTAAATCCCAAAGCCCTTGACCAGTTGACGCCCATTCTACCTTCTTTTGGTGTTCCTGGATTGTCTTTGCGAGACCATTCGCCAGATGGCATGCTACCAAGCATGGGACTGCTGGTGGCACTCTCATAACTCTTGCCAAGCTGGTTTTCATCGCCAAGATCAATACTTCCGTCTCGCTCAGCTCTGTCCGAATCAGCCGTGACGCTTGTTCCTTTCTTGCTACTGAAAAGGTTGGAATCTTTGCCCCGGATTGAAGACAGGCTAAACTTGCTTGAACTGCCTTTTCGGAGAAGCCGCCTGGTAAATGACGTATCTTTATCTTTGGCATTACCGGACATTACATCGGATGGTGTATTGCTTGTAATGATATCCAGGCTCTCGGAGGACTCAGCAACACTGTTTTGAGTACGGATTGAACGATTGTCACGGGACTTTCTCAATTCAGATGGCGACCCGAAAAAGGGGTGGTGAGAACTGTCTGCTGTAGATCCGCGACTCTCACTCGCTGGCTCCTTCCATGGAGTGTTCTCCTGCTCCTTTCCGGCTTTGCCAGAGCGACTGAACATCGCTCTAAAGGTCGGTGCTGCGGGATTGAGTCGAGGAGTGACAGGCTTGTGGGCTGAGGTAGGCCTTGTTCCAATGACACCAACTGGGGGTGGACTAGCTTGACCTGTCACAAGATCCGATGGCAGGAACTCGTCATCATCGCTGGCAATGCCTGATGTCAAAGGATTCGAGTTACTATACTGAAGGCTGGGTCTCCTAGAAGGGGTCCTTGACCATGGTTGCGTAACATTGACGGACCAGTCGGTTGCCAAAGGACTATTTCTGTTGATAATGTTGCCTTCTGCAGCGGGCCAACCAAACGGCGCACTGTCCGTGGATGGTCGAGGAAGATCTGAGGAGGCGATTGACACAGGCCGTGGGCTGCTAGGATCACGCTCCGAGTAGTTTATGGGATCGTCGATGCTGGACCCAAACATATTGAGACGACGTCGTCTGGCAGTAGGATTACGAGCAGGGGCAGGTGCGTTGCCTTCGATTGCATCACTTACTGAACCGCGATTGAACAAGCTTGGCATCACATTCCAACCAGAGGTAAAACTAACGCGTCTCTGTCTGTTTGCCATTACTTCAGGCTCGTCTGTAGAACGAGGGAAGGATTGGCTTTGCCCAGATTTCAGACTTCCTAGAGTTGGACTGTCATGAGGAGTTGTCTTTGCTCGAGATTTTGGGAAACCAAATAAATTGGTAAACTTGTTGTGCGACGATGGATGATGGGAGGGGCTCGGAGATCCAATGGCCCCAAATTCATTCCTGGGCGAGTTGAGTGATCGTCGCTCATTGTCCAAGGCATGATCATGACTAGAGACACCGTACTTGGTCAGGCTATGTGACGAAGCTTGAGGGCTCGACACTCTACTCGCAGAGCGGCTCGATGTTGGTGAATGGAAATCATGGTCAAAAGCGGATTGGCTGGTGCCATGGAGAGCACCACCAAAGGATCGAGGAGAGTTATCGCCTTCCAGACTCGGGTCATCATCCGAAAATATATTGGATGGCAACAGAGAAGTCGCGGTAGGACTCAGAGGTGCTCCGGCAGTCATCGCGCGTACCTCTGCCTCGCTCATTCCAATCGTTTGTTCCGCAAGAGGTACCATGGCTATATCGTGGTTAAGATCAAAGTAAGGTCCAGGAGCAAAGGATGGAGATGCTGTATTATTCATGTTGTTGTAGGGATTGTTTGAATACTGGGAATCCATCATAGCGAAACCTGGAACAGGCGAGGAAACAGTTCCGTTGCGGCTTTTGCGGTTACGAGTGCGGCGAGATTTAGCTTTGCCTTGACTTGCGGGATCAAAGTCCACACCAGAAGAATTTCCATGATACATCAGTGGATTATTCGCCAGCGGGTTGTTTGCCAACCTGGCTCCTAATGCATTGTATGTGTTCTGAGCATTGTGATATTGCACTTCAAGCTGTCGCAGTTGTACTTGTTGCGAATTGAGCTGTCGTACCAAGTCTTTCTCCCTCATTTCCCATTCCAGGTCACGCTGTTTTTCTGCGGCATCAATTGCTCTTGATTCGTCGTCATCTTCGCCTCCAGGAAGTGTTTTACGTGCGGCTTCAAGCTCCTTGATTTGAAGACCTTTAAGCCTGATCACTTGGTCTAAACCGTCAACGGAGTTTTGCCGTTTCCTAATCGTTTCTCGAAGTTCTTTGGCCCTTTGCTCTTTATTTCTCAAGAGTTCATCCTTCTCTTTCTGCCACTTCTCTCTCTCCGCCTTCATTTCATCAATTTCTTTCCTCCATCGTGCCACGTCAGCTTGCATTTTGGCTCTCTCATTTTGCTTCTCCTTCAAAACTTTTTCCTTTTGTTGCTTTCGGTTTTGGGCTTGTCGGTTAGAACGCTCCGAGTAATTGACTTCTTTCTTCAACTTTTCACTTGCTTCCTCCTTTTCTTTCAAGGCTCTTCGTTTCTCGTCCTTCTCCTTCATTAAATCAAGTATCTGGATTTTGTACTCCTCCGACTCCCGGGCGACTTGACCCATCACTTCTTCCGTGTCTCTACGGATGGCCTCGAACTTTTCAGTGAGCTGCTGCATGGTTTCCTCGGGTTGATTCGAGGCAATGGCCGCTAAGGCTGCCTGATCCGTGGCAGCATTTGAGGGGGAATGCTTCCTGCTCATAGTATTTCGCCTTTGTCCGACGTTGACACTGCTACTTGGTTCCCGTGTTGTGGGCGGGCATGGTTCCGTTGTAGCAGCTTCTACTCCGGCACCGTGAGTTCGTACCGTAGTAGACTCCTCCCCACTATCACTGCTCTGGTCTTCCATGGATAAATTCGACGGCATACGGCCATTGCCCAATTGTGGGCGACCATCTTTGCCATATGTCCTCAATCGTATGACCCTGCTCCCAGCTTGAAAATTGTTGGATCCGACAGCGATCACCCTCACGTTGTAAAAATGACCCGGCTTTAGTCCCGTAACAGTAATTGCCGTTTCCAGTCGCGAGGACTCCCCCACTGCTTTCTGTCAGTAACAGCGATTTCTACCATTATCCATACATACCATTCACTCCATTGACCTGGATCAAGTACTTGACCACAGGTTTGTTTGCGCCGGGTCGTGTCCATCGTAAAGTAATGTTTTCCGCCGCAATACCTGCAAGTGATACTTCAGGAGAATCGGGAACTTCGACGCCGAGGATGCTGATCAGTTCAGGGACGGGTGTCCAAAGAGTCATCCATGCTCGATGTAGGAGCCTTTGAAGGTACAAGTAAGCATTTTTGGAGCTTTTCGAGTCGATCATGGGAAGCGGGGCGGGCAGATAGTTTATACTCACCAGAAGAGCGCACCACAAGTCACTACGGACTGTAGAATAAACATATTCCCTTCGGTAACATGATCAACTGTCCACAGCCAGTTTTCGTGCCAGAAAGTTTGAGCGTTCATCCACAAAGTCGAATACAATCTTTTCTCGCGCCTCAAAATCTCAAATTGGTCAAAGTACGAACACACGGAATATGCGGCCACAATGGCAAGAATGACGATGGAAACCTCGGTGAGGACGGACTGGAGGGTGAGGAAGGGTTCTGGTGCGGGCGGAGGTGGGGGAGGAAGAGAAGCGATGGCTGCGGGTGGTTCGGTGTCGAGAGGCAGCACGCTGTTGTTGTATTCTTCACGGTGTTGCTCTGTTGCCAAGCGCTCCACCGCACCGGATTCCGCCAAGGCGTTGCGAGGCATCTCAGGCACTCGCACTCGCACTCACGCACAGCTGCCGCTGGCAGATTTGGAGCGCTGAATTGCTGTGGGCATCGCCTTTACAGTCACCTCAGGGTCGGAATCCCAAGACGCGGGAGTCGTTCTGCCACAATGTGGATGGATGGATATGGCGGGTTGGGAAGGAATTTGGGGTGGCAGCGGCGGCGGCAGTGGCTGTCTCAATTCCAGGACCAGCAAGCACTCTCGCTGTCGTCGTTCGCTCTTTCCCCAACTCAACTCCTCCAGTTGTACCTGTCGCCTGTCGGTCCTCAGGTTAGGTTCCATGTTCCCTCCAGTTCTCACACATTCTTCTCAGGCAGCTGTGCAGAGCAGCAGGCCGACCAGACATGAACCAAGTATTGAGCTAGCTAGGGAGTCTATATGCCTTGATTATATGGTTGGATGTGATTTTGCAAAAGAAAATAAGCTTGTTGTCTTTGAAATCACGTATTCCAAGTTTCATATTTCCAATTCGACATCTCAAAGGCTCAAGCTTAGGGCACAAGACGCTTTGGGAAGAGGGGCTAGGTGTGGATATACTCCATTGCTCTAAAGGGTAGCTAGGTCAATTTAAGTAGGTATACTTGCACTCAGTTTTTGAAAAGCTTGAAGAGTGAGTGTTACTCCTAGATAATTGGTTTGTTTTCAAGTAACTACTTACCTTATTGTATGGTTTGACAGGCATCTCAATGCATAATCATCTCCATCAACGTGATTGACTCTCGTGATACATGTAGCCATGGATGCAACCATAGATGGCAGGCTGGGTACGCATAGTGGGAGTTATATAGCCCCAACCCCACCTTTCACTCCGCCGGTTCTGGAAGGGAATACGTACAGCTTCGATCAACTACCTACCCAAGCGTAAGGACTAGAAGAAAACGAGACAAGAAGAATAGGCCGGCTGGTTCCGTCTACGCTTAGCTTGACCTGATGATGCGATGTGGTCAATGGTCATTGTCTGGAAGGAAATGTAGATTACTGCAAGATCGAAAGAATCCATACCACGACCGGACTGCCAGTACCTGGGCGAAGAAGAAACAGTTATAAAGGATTTAGAGACAGAGTACCGTCGAGACTTTCCACGGAGAAAACAAACTCGGGCTTGGAACTTCCAGATGAACCATGATTCCAACCCAAAATGAATAATTGAGTTCACTCTTCTGCAGGAGTCATGTTTCTGATTCTTCCAAGGCTGCAGAATTCTTCAAACATGCGCGTCCACCTCCGTTTTCTGGCCTCGGCCCCTCTTCCGTTTCCATACAAGGTCTTTGGACGCGAGGCGTCACGATTGGGATACGATGCCTGCAAAGAACCCCTCTTCCTTCTCACATGCCGAGGGGCAACACAATGCCATGCCGAGCTGACCGAGCTAGACTGTCTCTCAGGAGCGATAGCAGAGAGAAGCACGAACACTGGTTCTGATTCATCGAATGAGCTTGTTCTGGCACGCATCGTGTAGTCGTGTTACCGTATAGCTGTAGCGCCGGCAGAGGAGAGGCTTCCAGGTTGGGGTAGATGACATGCAGCATCGGCATCAGCAACTTCGGGCTTCGCGGCATGGCCTTGGGGGACAGCTTCCCGGTCACCTTCCCGGTCACCTTCCCGGTCACCTTCACCAGAAAATGGTTGGTGCTCTGGCGGGTGACCCAAAAGTAGCAGGAGCTGACCACAACGGGCCTGCCAATGGCTGGTACAAGCCTTGTTGAATGTCGGGACAGGGGTCTTGGAAGCGCATCTGAGCGACGTCAGTCTGGACTCTGGATGGTTGGCGTTGGGACGGGGATTTTGGGTGAGAGCACTCGCAGTCTGGTCCGAATAGGCAGCATGTGCATAGAAATATCTCTCACGTATTTCTACGAGTACGGTACTCTAACCCGTCGACCTCGACTCGACTCAATCTGACGGAGCTGGCCCACTCGCATTCACATCCACGCATCTCAACTGCATTCTCAACCTCTCGACAGCCCTGTTCATCTCCTCCCTCCGGAATCCCTTCCAGTCCCAACCTTACGTGGTACAACTCCAAGTCACTCGTTTGATCTACACATCCTCGCCCCTCCCATACGTTTGTTTCTCCAGTCTGTAGAACTGACTCGCCTCTGTCGCAGACAACTCCTCCTCATCGTTGACAGCACCCTACGGAGAGAATAGATATTAAGCCTTCTCGCACGTACCTTAATTGGGCTCTTACTGCCGCCGCTGGGAATTGACACCCCTTTGTATCTCTCCTCGCGATCGCTACCCTCCTTCACCCAACGCGCGACGTACAAGCCGCCCCCAAATTTTGATCTGCCGCCTGGCGCAGCTGGTTCAATATGCAGTACGTGCGAAGTATCAGCGGTTCTGTCTCAAAAACATGGAACTCGATCAATCCGGCAACCCTGAGTGGTGCTATTGATGTGATTGTGGTGGAAGGGGAAGATGGGACTCTAGCATGCTCGCCCTTCCACGTCCGCTTTGGAAAGTTTTCTCTGCTGCGTCCATCGGAGAAGAAAATCGAATTCAAAGTCAACGATGTGAAGCAGAATTATGCAATGAAGCTAGGGGATGGCGGGGAGGCTTTCTTCGTCTTTGAAACCAGTGACAATATTCCAGAAGCAATGCAAACGTCCCCTCTGATATCGCCTGCTTCAAGTCCACCTTTACAACCAGAAGGCTCAGAACTGCTGAGTTTATCCGAGCCAGAATTCTTGGACCTAGAGACGATGAACGGAAAAGCCAGGGCAACTAGTGTGTCAAGACCGGGAGTTAACATACTACCAGGGAGCGGTGACAGGCGTCAGAGCAATCTCAGTATGTTCCCAGTCGATAGGCCGGCTCTGGCATAACTAACAGAATGGGAAGGCGCAATAACTCCCCTTAGTGGCTCTCCAGATTTTTCAACTTCAAGACCTCAGTTGGGGGATTGGTCCGGAGCACAACGGAGTAACACGGACGAACTTCTCTCAACTTCTGCTCACAGCTATACCAATAACGGCACGGAACGAGATCGCCAAACCCGATCCCTCACACCCACGATTCCACATGATGGCCGATCCGATTCCCATACCGAGAGATCCCAAAGTCCTCCCCCACTGCCGACGAAGGAAGCGATTGAACGTGCGGTAGCCTTATCAAATAAGCTACAGGCATCTAACATACGGAATACTGTTACGGATACTGGCGATTTGATGCTAGATATGACTGGGTATAAAAGTAGTGACGACGATGCTTTCAGAGCCGAGGTTATCGCAAGAAAAATACTGTCTGAGGAATTAGACGGCAATTATGACATCGGGGCGCTAATTGGTGCTGATGAGCAAGGAAATCTCTGGATATATAGCAGTGAAGAAGCCAAAGAGGCTGCAGCTCAGAGAGCGGCGATGGCTGGTATCACAAACGTAAATGATGCTGCATCTGATCCTGGATATCACAGCGACGCGGAAAGTGAAGGGACTCCCAAGACCCCAATAGTGGCCATACATCGACGTGCGGAATCGGATTTGGGATTGACGCCCCCGCAGACCCCACCTGAAGGAGCTGGCGATCCCAACAGAAACTACGCCAAAACACTGCGATTGACAAGTGATCAACTAAAGGCACTCGGATTAAAAGCGGGACCAAATCCTATGAGCTTCACGGTCAACCGAGTCACTTGTCAAGCCAACATGTATCTCTGGCGTTACGATGTACCGGTTGTTATTTCGGACATTGATGGAACAATTACCAAGTCTGATGCCTTGGGTCATATTCTGAACCTAATTGGGCGAGATTGGACCCATATTGGAGTTGCGAAGCTTTACACCGAAATTGTCAACAACGGGTACAATATAATGTACCTGACTTCAAGGTCTGTTGGTTTAGCCGACAATACACGAGCATATCTGGCCGGGGTTGAACAGGAGGGCTACCGCCTACCGAAAGGGCCAACTATCATGAGTCCTGACCGCACCATTGCAGCTCTGCGAAGGGAGGTTTACCTGCGAAAACCTGAAGTCTTCAAGATGGCTTGTTTGAGAGATATCAAAAACCTTTTTGGGCCTGGAAGAACACCATTTTGCGCTGGATTCGGGAATAGGCTTACAGACGCTCTTTCGTATCGATCGGTGAGTATACCTAGTAACCGCATTTTTACGATCAACAGCAATGCAGAGGTTTCTCTAGACGTTTTGAAGCTCAACAAACTCCGATATAGCTATGTGAATATGCGAGAAATCGTGGATCATTATTTCCCACCAGTCAACACACTCGTGAAGAGTGGTGGTGAGGAGTATACCGATTTCACATACTGGCGTGAACCAGTCCTCGAAATTGACGACTTCAGCGCCTCGGAAAGCGGAGAATCAGATGGCGAGGATGAAGGTGATGATGATGGTGACGAGGAGGAGGATGATAATGAGAGCGAAGAGGAGGAAGAAAATGAGGAGATGGGTGAAAGCTACATGTCTCGGGGATCTCTTGATGAAGGGGAAGGTTATAATGGTCTCGAGGAAAGCATGATGTCTACTTTCTCTCACGAAGAACATATCGACAACACACTGGATGCCACTCTCGACGGAAACGCTAATCATGAGGAGGAGGAGGTGGAGGCTGATGTTGTGATTGCCCAGGAGCCCGAAACAGGTCTCTTGCAAGTCCAAGGAGTAGAAGAACCTACTAAGGCTGCGAACAAACCCACGAACGGGGAAGATGAAATGAAGGAGACAAAACCAGATGTCAACCAACGCCGGGTTAGCCAGCAGGATATCCAGGCTGAGCTAATAATTGGGTGGAAAGGACTCGGATTAGAACGCGAGGAATCGGATGATAGGAAGGTTTGAGTGTGCATACATCCTCTGCATGAAAAGCAAAGTCGATATTAAGGCATGATTTTCTTTCGTTTTTTCTTCTCTTTTATGTATGTTTTTATACATGGGAAAGGTGTAAGGAAATGGAATGGCTTCTGTAAGAAGGAACTGACAGACAGACGGGGTTTTGTGTTGTATATTACCCTTTTCTTCTTCTTCTTCTTCTTCTAAATAGAGCATTGGGGGTTCAATGGTTGCGATCGGTTGGTTGGGTTTGGGTGTGTAGGTTGGGAAATTAGAACTGAGAGCATAGCGTGGCGTAATGAGCAATATTATCACCGTAACCATAACCATAACCATAATTATTACCTAGCTTTTGATTTAGACCTTTTTTTTTCTGCTGGGTTGATTGTGAGAGGTACTTGAAGCGTTTTGAAACATCTTAATACGTATAGCGGAAAACACTTTCTGGTCTCTAATCTCCATCATCCCCTCCATCCCCCCTATCCCCCCCATCTACCCCCATCCATCTATCC